ATGGCGAGAGTAAAGCTCTGAAGATTAACGTACTTCAGCAACAGTCAGAACGGCGTGCCAATCCTTGCTGAATTATGCCTTCTCTAAAAATGGGATTTGAAGAGTCAGGTCATTCTCCGCCTTCTCCATCCCTTGCTCAAAGGTTGAGTCTTCCTGAACCTTGGCCTCAACCTTAAAATTTTCAAACTCCTCTAGAAGATTGGAATGATCAAGCTGGGTCTTAATGAGCTCAATGTTAGCTATCCGTTTAGAAGTTTTTAACTCTGCAAATAATGCTGAAAGTTTCTTGTTCTCCTCGGTCAGGCTAAGCATTTGAGCCTGAAGAATCAGAACTTCCTCACAGAGCTTGGCATACTCCTCGTCAGTAAACTCCTTCTTTGTCAATGCAGTTACACGGACATGGATTGCATCCTTCATGGCTTTGTCTTTTCTAGCAATCATGGCCCCCACTTCGTGGATCTTTTGGACTCCCTACAAGTCAAGGAAAAAAATAGTAAAAATCGAAGATAAATTTTGATAAAATCAAATGTTGTAAGGAAGAAATACCAAAATCATCTGCTGGATTGCTTGCTGTGTGATTTCATCATCTGATAAAGCCTCATTTGCGACTAAGTCTTGAGGAAAAATTACCCCCTGGTGATCCCCACTGCTACATTAAAGTCCTTGGCAGCAGAATCCTTCACTGTGATCTCCCTCATTTTCACTTTTAGAATAGGTCAGAAGGGGGGAGTCACAGGCTTTGAAATTGGTGTTGTGTCAAAATTTGAAAATTTGCGCTTCTTAGGGGCAAGATCATTAGATAACTCCAAAATTGACTCAAGGCGGTCATCGGGAGGTTGACGTGGAACAGGAGGAGGCTCTATTGGGATAATCGTCTCAGCAACCCAAACCAAGTCATTTGGGGTACCCTTTTGTGGAACCTCATGGTTTGACTCGACAAGGGCTGCTTTAGCAGGATATTCAGGTGCAAGCTCTTGCACAAGTATAGAAGAGTTGGCTGGAACAGAAGACTCAATCGGTGTAGAAGATTCAACGGGTGCAGAAGGCTCAGCGGACAACAAAAAATAAAGAAAATTTCGGACCAGCCTGTTTCTTCCTGAAGGACTGGGCAAGGACTTTTTGCAGGATCGAGGAGTTTGATCCCCAGTAAACTGGAGAGCTTGGCGATCTCTAACAAGGGCATAATTTGGTCTGGATGGGACAACAATAAATGACATGTAAATTGGAGTGTACTGGAGTAATATGTCAGCAGCTCGGTTGTAGAGTGAGTCATTATAGTCCCACACCCTCTTCAATTCATCCATCTTGATAGCACGCTCAGGGACTCTTCCCTTCACAGTTTTGCCTTCAAAGAAAAGACAACATAACCAAAAATACTAAATGAATGTACTAAGAAAGTAGAGTAAAAACATCAGTCACCTGGTGCGCCTTCCTCATAGGGGCAATGATAAAAAGGAGTAGCACCAGCTGGATACTTCTAATTCCATAAACAAAGACCACGTCGTTCTCATGGCCCTTTTTTGAATTTGGAAGATAGGTCACCAGATAACGATCCTTCTTTCTCACTACAAGGTAGTAGCTATCTCTAGCTGGTTTAATGATGTAACAATGCAAAATCTCCCATAAACCAAGACTCAAGTTTAGAAGCTTGTTCAGAGCAGCCACACCCATCACTATTTTGAAGAAATTGGGGCAACATTGGGTAGAGCACAGCCTCATTTCTAATAGCACCCAAAGCAGCAGAGGACCGAGGGAGAAACGAACACTACCCTCTATAATTGCACAAGTATGGATGGGAATGCTCTTCCTGGTTCCTATTAGAGGTTCATCAGTGCTAGCAAATCGTACATCGACATCTTTAGGAATGTTATATTTAGCTTTGAAAGTAGGAATTTCAGAAGGAGTAAGAGGAGCAATAGTAGAAGACGAGGAAAACACAGAGTGAAGTAGAGAAGCAAAGAAATCTAAAGGTGAAGAGGTAGAGTAGAGAAGAAGAAGACAGAAAAACTCGCTTAAAAAGGGGTAAGCGAAGTTCAAGAGACGATGTTTAAATGCAAAACACGCCGCCAAAACAAAGGGGGATGTTTCAAAAAGTACGCACAATGATGGTTTGGGGGCATGAAACTATTGACAGATGAAAAGTTCCTGTCACACGTTTCCTAGGGGCAAATGAAGAGGTTGCTTCCTTTATGACACGTGTAATAACATTAAATGATCTCACGTGAGGGTGACAAGACCAGTCACGTGAGAAAGACATCACTAGACGTTGTCATTAGATAGCTACCAAGCTATTTAGAAAGCTCAGAAAGGAAGGAATAAGCTCGGTCCTCGTCATGACCGAGCTGTTTAAAATAGTAAACATGGTGCTAAAATGATGTCTATAATTCAGGCATTCTAGTTAAACGAATGGGCATGATCATAGGCTCGATAAAAGGAATTGTTAAAGAGATCATAGAAACTTCCTGAACAGAATCACCTGATTAAGGAAATGTGTACCACCTTGAATTAAAAATCATGGAAACCCTAACTAAAAAAGACTATATAAAAGGCATAAGAAGTCAAGGTGAAAGGTACACTAAACTCTCATTGTCTTTTTGTAATTTACTCAATTTTATTACTAACTTAAGCATCGGAGTGCCTTCGATCAAAGCACTTCAATCTTGGACAATTTGCTCATTTTGCAAGAGGGAAAGACTTGGAGATCGAGTTCAAAGCTCATTTACGAAAGAGATATCATTCCTCACTCCTGTAGGAGGTACTTTCGCTTTTTGCCTCTTACAAGAATGTAGCTAGTGTTCTTCACTTGTTGATTTGATGAACATGTTATGATCTTAATAGTTGTATTATTGAATACATGAACTTGTTGTTACGTGGATTATGATAAGCATTCTAGGTGTATAAATTCTATGCATATTAAATGTTTGATGAAATGTTGTAGTGTGGACAAGTATGCTATATGGGTTAATTGATGCACATCATATGTTTGAAAAATGCTACAATGAGAAAATATATGCTTCTTGTTATATTTGAGATTGTAAGTCTATCTAAATTTCATTTGGACATACATCGCATGTGCACGAGTTTAACACAACATCTATGATGCATTTGACATGGTAATGTGTGTTTGTGTATGGGTTAATAACTTACCATATCGGTGAGTGGGTGGGGCTTGAGAATTGGACTAAGTTCCGATTAAATCTCACGAAAATATGCATGATAATATGTCAGGGTATAGCAAGAAGGGATAAATTCTCCATCAGGTGCAATATTCGGTTATGTTGATCACACATTAGCTGCTGGTATAAAGAGATCAGAAAAGTGTATCGGTATACATGGAACTATAGATGTAATATCCTCAAAATCCATGTCGATTTGATAACCACTTGGTGGAAGTACTTAAAAATTTAACCCATAAAGACAATATATTAAATAAAAAGTCATTGAGTGAGCAATTCGAAATGAGTTATGTTTTATTATATAGAAGTAGTAGTGTGCTTCGTGCAAAATCCGTTTTTTTTAATGTATATGTTAAGTTACTTTGATTGAAAGTAAAATTTAAATGAGTTCCTATAATTAGAAGACTAAAATATTAACATTTAAATAAATTACTGTATTTTATTAGTATTGATGTAAGAAATATGCATGCATTCATGTATTGATAAAATTTAAAAAGAAGGATAATTATTATCTACGTCCCTTCTAGATAGATATATTTTTAACGAGACTTTCTCCATTATCTAAAATATCATTGACATCTCTTTTAGTTTTTATTTAAATATTATAATACTCTTCTACAGTTAAACCACTGTATCTGATAAAAAAATTTATCTAAAATATCACAATTGTCCCTACATAAATTCCAAACAATCTTTCTATATAAAATTTGATTAAATATTGAGCCGATTAAAATTCATTTAAATGATTAAAATTTAAGTCAATTAAAATTTAATTCGAGCTGATTAATTTTTTTTACGTATTAAATTTTGAGCCTATTAAAATTCTTTTTCTTAATGTTTAAAATTCGAGCTAATTAAATTTTTTTTTTTTACGTATTTGAGTGGATTAAAATTTATATTTTGTATATATCAAAATTCGGGCCGGTTAAATCAATTTGAGTTGATTAAAATTCAATTCGAGCAGATTACAATTTATTTTTAATCGGCTTTAATCAAATTTTAATCAGCTCAAATTTTAATATGTAAAAAAATATAATTTTTAATTGTCTCAAATTTTAATATGTAAAAAATAAATTTTAAGTAGCTCCAATTGAATTTTGATCAATCTAAATTTTAATACATATGAAAATTCAAAAAACAAAGGATATATCTAAAAGGGGTGTAGATGAATTTTTTTACATATTAATTTTTTCACGTTTCGATATGATTAATTTTTTTTACGCATTAAAATTTGAGCTTATTAAAATTTTTTTTTAATATTTAAATTCGAGCTGATTTGACCTCAACCTGAGCTATTAGGGCTAATTAAAATTATATTCGATTCGATTAAAATTTTTTTTTTTACGTATTAAAATTTGAGCCAATTAAAATTCGATTCAAACTAATTAAAATTATTTTTTTGCTATTAAAATTTGAGTCGATTAAAATTTATATATTGTATATATCAAAATTTGGGTCAGTTAAAATCAATTTGAGTTGATTAAAATTCGATTCGAGCATATTATAATTTATTTTTAATCAGCTTTAATCCAATTTTAATCAGGTCAAATTTTAATGTGTAAAAAAAAATTAATTAACTCAAATTTTAATATATAAAAAATAAATTTTAAGTAGCTCAAATCAAATTTTAATAGATCTAAATTTTAATACATATAAAAATTCAAAAAACAAAGGATATATCTAAAAGAGTGTAGATGAATTTTTTCTAAAATATATTTAATAAAATTGCATTCGTTGTGTTAGGGGCATAATGATGTTTTATATAATAGAAAGATATTTATCGAGAAAGGTTGTCAATGATAATTACCCTGAAAAGAAAGAAACCTCGCGTACATTTCTCCCGATTCCCACTCTTAACACGCAATACAGAGACTAACGTCATCCATTTGACTACACCCGAGGGTAAGAACGAGCTTCCAGCTTCCCCTTCTCCTGTGCTCTTGATGAGAACTGAAAAGTCTCCCTCATAGACTTCGTTAGCGCCTTGAATAACATCACCTCTACAAACCCATCTGAAAATCTGAAGAAAATCGAAGTGCTTCTTCTTTCAGTCGAGCGAAAATGGCGTATGTGGACCACGCGTTCTCGATTTCCGACGAAGACGTAATGATGGGGACATCGTACACGGTGAACAACCGACCGCCGATCAAGGAGATCGCTCTCGCAGTCTCTCTCCTGGTTTTTGGAACCCTAGCCATCATCCTGGGCATTTTCATGGCCTTCAACAGAGTCGGCGGTGACAGAGCTCACGGTACAACCACATATGCTATTCTTATCCAGTTTAATTTTGTTAATTTCCCTTCAATCTTTTTCTTGATTCTGGTTTTGTCCCTTTTTTTGGCTTTTATTGGTGTGTAATTTAGTATTTAATATTGTTCATTGCCCTCCAATCTCGTTCTTGACTCCAAATTTTTCCTTATTTTTTTTTCTTTTGGCTTTTTGTGATTTAGGGCTATTCTTTGCGATATTGGGAGGAATTTTGTTCCTTCCGGGGTTTTACTATACCCGGATTGCGTACTACGCCTACAAGGGTTACAAGGGTTTCTCTTTCTCCAACATACCTGCTGTGTAAAGTTGGCCTCTGACCACACTACTCTGTGTATAGATCTCTTAGTTCACTGTTCTTTTTCATTTGTATGCCAACCTTTTTTTTTGTTTCTTTGAATAATGTGAATGTATAATGTTTCATGTTCTAGACAATCAGACTTTGCTTTGTTTCTTCTTGTGATATAGTAAAAATTTTGATCATCTGTGGGGTGTTGGGCGTGTTAATATCTACCTTTGTGGATAGAAAAGATGAAAGAGGGAAGTTCTGGATGATTTGAATGTCCCCTTGTATACTCATTTGTGGGATTTAAATTGCCGATGTTATCATTTAATCTGTCTCTTCATTTTAATGATAATATCTTATAGGGGTATGTGAAGCATTTCAATTACATGTCAAATAGAAGATGCCATTCGAATTGTTACAGAACATCCTTTAGGAAATTATTATGTTATGTTTTAAAGGGTAACATTGATATATATGTACAAGAAAAAATTTGTTGCTTCCAAGGCTTCAAAAACTGATAATTATTAGTGTGGGAATCAAGAAATTGAGGATTGGCTTGAATGAATGAATCGATTTGGTGCTCTTTCTTCATGCAAAACCAACAAACTGCCACAAATTGGACTGGCCGGAGGCATCGATGCTTAAGTCAGTAGGTCCTGAGATTAAACTTGCAAATTGTAAAGAAAAGAGTACGTATCTTATACTTAAGCTTGTTTGATATTTATAGGATTATGTCCCGATCATATAGGATTTATAATTCTGGTTGGAATTATGGTAGTCCACCTGAATTCTAGCCGGATATACCCTTATGTATGTTCTAGCCTGTTTAGGCTTTAATTCCCATTAGTAGTTCTTTAAGGTTACATGTTAATAATGTGTACCTTGTATAAATCCTAACCCTAACCAGTCTTCATGACCACCTTTGGTCTTCGAGGATAGTCTATTATTTCTATTCGGATAAGCTTTATACTTATCTGATTTTTCTGTGGAATTATAGTTTCATTAATATACTATCTTGTTTGATACGTCCTTAATTGAATTCTCTAAGGCTTTGCTTGGCATAAATCCACTACTCGGGAATGTTGCTCAACCGAGCCAACCATTTCTTGTTGATTTTCATTCTGCTCAATTATCTTTTCAATCTATTCGCATGGACTCGTTTTGGTTCGGCCAGAGGCACTCTGTCTCTTAAAACGGTCCTTTATAATATCCGCACATGCTATTTTTCACGTGCCTTCGTATAGCTGTCCCATCATGATCAGTATACATGTTTTACTAGAAATAGAATGAGAATCAAATTGTTATGGTGGTTCTTTCCACTTGAAACTTTTTATGAGCTTTGATATGCTGAGAAGTGTGCACTTTACACTTACTCATCACTTCAATCTAGGCCTTAAGGATTAATTTGGCCAATTTGAGGTGTTGAACGTCTACGCATTTTACAAAGCATCTACTTTAAAGCTCTTTATTCAAATTTGTTGCTTTGGGGCAGTTGGCAATGGATGTGGAGCTCAATGTGAAAATCATATCCTATTGAGGCTCCATTTGGTTTTGCAGGATGTTATATGTGAAGTTGATTCTTGGAAATAATGAATTAAATCAAGAGAAAAGATTAATTGAAAGTTTATTGTGTTAAAGGGGATGAAAAATAAGAAAGACGCTTTTCTGCCCTGTATTTAGTATAGGACTCAAATTCCTTAGGAGGTATAACTAGGTATTAGTTGACATAAATGGTTTGAGGGAAAGTAAACTCTTTTGGAAAACAATGATTATACAATTCCACTACAACCATAGGGACGAAATTGTTCGGAACACTCATTATGTTTCAATAGTGAGGAAACTTGAATAGATTTTGTGGATTTTTATCTTTGAAGATGGTCTAGGTAAGGTGATCCTAAGGTTAGGCCGCTTTGGTATTTTTAATTGTCAGTGGCAGAAAAGGCCTTATTAGACAGGTTGCTTTGTTAATGTTGGGATAACATAGCTGCCTGAATTAGTATAGTTGAATTGCCCACAGGTGATTTGTTTGTAGTCATTTTCACAGTGTGAGTACCTAAGAATGTTAAGCTAATCAGCTAATCAACATTTTTTTCACCATTGAATGTATTTTGCAGCCTCCATACCGATTTAGGACGTAGGTCTTTGGAAGTTCTCACAAGTTTGTGGTTTAGGACAAGATGTTTAAAGGTTGTATGGGGTTGTTTATACATTTCTTTTTGTCTCCAGTATTTCTAAGGCCTATAGCAAGCCTTGGGACATTAATTCGCAATGCAAATTGACGTTTTGTCTATATTTGGCTAGCCTAAGGCTAGTAATGTTTGGGTAAATTTCCATTGATTAGTTTGAATAGGTCCAACATTTTAAGTAGTTTCAATAGAATTGTGTCGTGTCATGTGCAGGTCATATCATTTCGAGTTCATGTCATTTCAAGTTATATTGTGTCTGTGTCCTTTTTGTGTGCCCGATGAACTAGAATCCACATGATTAGGACTCCTTTTTATCTATCAATCCATTATGCAAAGGTCTCCCATACCTAATCCTAAACTATTCATACAATATTCGATCAAGAAATAACAAAAATTAAAAAAATATTTTTTTTCTAACAATACCCTTTAGAAACTGCCAACACTGAATTTGTGTTGGACCATTTTGTTGGCTTGCGCCAATTAAAATGTGCGCATACTTGGTAATGACAGCTGGTCTTCACCTGAAAGCATTATTTGTACCCAATTCCAGGATATTGTAATAAGAATTTTGCATTTTGAAGAACTTTATGTGGGAAGGAATCTAGGGAAGTAAACTAGCTTAGAAAGCTTTCTTTCTTTCTTGCCATTTTTCAAGAAGATTAATTGTTTTAGTGGGAGATGTTTTTTATTGGAGTTTATGTGGCCCCTTTTTATCACTCGTCGTTAAACAATTTTCACTTCCTTGGACTAGAACATATCTTTTCTGTGAAGTATCTGTGGTTTTATTAATTTTATTGGCCACATGTCAAATGACTTTGCAGATAAATTGGCAAATTGATCATGGATTGGGGTTTGAGTGTGATCAGAAATGAGATAGTTCAGGATTTTGAATTATGCTTGTTTTTCATTATAGACAACCAGACCACCTTGGAAGTCATTCTTGAATTGTTGCTTACAAAGTCTCATGGATTTCAAATAGGTGAAGCCCTCAATTAAAAATTATATAATATGCCCTATGATGACTAACTGAATTGGGGAAAAGAATTTTTCCAGAGCTGGGGAAGCGCAAAGAGTACGACACTTTATTTCCTTGCAAATCTATAAAACAATTG